CCCCCATCCCCCCTGTGGGCCTGGTTGTGGGCCTGGTCATCCTTGGAGCTGTGGTCACTGGAGCTGTGGTCACTGGAGCTGTGGTCACTGTAGCTGTGATGTGGAGGAGGAAGCGCTCAGGTAGGGAAGGGGTGGGGCCTGAGTTTCTTGTCTCACTGGGGGTTGCAAGCCCAGGTAGAAGTGTGTTCTGCTTCATTAATGGCAAGTACCATCCCCACAAGTGTGGTTGCCCAGTGTGGGGCCCTATTTGCTGACACTCACTCTTTAGTAAGACACGTGTGGAAATGAGGGACAGATTCGTCACCTTGATGATTCCAGTGGTGGGGCCTGGTTCCCAGCACTCCCAGGTCAGGGAGGAAGGTCCCTGCTGAGGACAGACCTCCAGGAGGGTGGTTGGTCCAGTCCCTAAACGTGTAGTTTCTTCAAGTTTCCTAATCCTGTCCTGGGTCTGTTGTCACAGATTTGGAAACTTCTCTGGGCTCCAGGACTAGGAGTTCCTTTAGGACCTCATGGCCCTGCCTCCTCCCTGTCTTCTCACAGGATGTTTTCTTCCCACAGGTGGAAAAGGAGGGAGCTATGCTCAGGCTGCCAGTGAGTATGGAGGGTAACCCCTGAGACCTTGTGACAGTGCAGATGGGAGCCCATGGGGAACCTCACCCCCATAGTTCCTCCCTTAGTCTCCTCTCCTGGGGGCTCTGACCCCGTCCCGTTTTGTTCTACCCCAGGCAGCGATGGTGCCCATGGCTCTGATGTATCTCTCACAGCTTCTAAAGGTGAGACCCTGATGATAGCAGGGGTTGGGGCAAAAGGGACAGGACTGGGTGATGGAGATTCTTTAGGCCATATTGAGCCTGCGGTGGGCTGTTGAGAAAGTCACTACTTACAGCCACTGAACTGAATTTGTTCATGATCATTTTCTTCCACAGCGTGAGGCACTTTTTGGGAACTGAGTGATGGGAGATTTGTGAATGCTTCCACTTTGTGATTCAAGAATCTCTGAGTTTCCCGGACCTTTCCGTCCCGGTGGCGGCTGCAGTGCTGAGCCAGGGGTGCCCAAACTCCTGGCTCCTCTCCGCGCCTCCACTCTGCTCCGTGCCCCTGGTTCCCCGTGCGCTCCGTGCCCCTGGCTCCCCGTGCTGTGCTGCCAGGATGGAACAGGCCATCTCCTTCGCCAAGGACTTCCTTGCCGGAGGCTTCCCAGCCGCCATCTCCATGACGGCCGTGGCCCCGATGGAGCGGGTCAAGCTGCTGTAGCAGGTGCAACATGCCAGCCAGCAGATCACGGCCGACAAGCAGTACAAGGGCATCATGGACTGCATCCTGCGCATCCCCAAGGAGCAGGGCTTGCTGTCCTGGCAGAGCAACTTGGCCAACGTCATCTGTTACTTCCTCACCCAAGCCCTCTACTTCGCCTTCAAGGATAAGTATAAGCAGGTCTTCCTGGGGGGCGCAGACAAGCACACCCAGTTCTGGAGGTACTTCGTGGGCGTCACCTCCCTCTGCTTGTCTATCCCCTGGGCTTCGCCCAGACCACCTGGTGGTCGACGAGGGGAAATCAGGCGCTGAGCGTCAGTTCAAGGGCCTGGTAGGCTGCCTGGTGCAGATCTCCAAATCGGACGGCATCGGGGCATGTACCAGGGCTTCAATGTCTCAGTGCAAGGCATCATCATCTACCGGGCAGCCTACTTCGGGGTGTAGGTCACAGCCAAAGGCATGCTCCCCGAGCCCAGGAACACCCACATCTTCATCAGGTGGATGATCGCCCAGTCGGTGACAGCTGTGGCAGGGCCAGGTGTCCTACCCCTTTGACACCGTGCGGCGACAGATAATGATGCAGTCGGGGCGCAAAGGAGCCGACATCCTGTACACCGACACCATGGACTGCTGGCGGAAGATCTTCAAGGACGAGGGCGGCAAGGCCTTCTTCAAGGACGCCTGGTCGAACCTCTGAGGGGCATGTGCGGGGCCTTCGTGCTGGTCTTGTAGGATGAGCTGAAGAGGGTCAACTAGGCGCCCCGTCTGCCCGGACACCAGACCCCAGGGCCGTGGAGGTCCCTCACGGTTACAGACCATTGACCTTCCAGAA